GGGTCCTCGGGCTCGGCCGGCTCCGCGGGCACCGCCGCCGAGTCGCGCCTCCTGCTCTTTGTGCGTAACGAGCTGCCGGGGCGCATCGCGGTGCAGGACGACCTGGACAACACGGAGCTGCCCTTCTTCACCCTCGGTCAGTCCCGGCGCCGGCACGGCACACGAGGGGTCCCACGGAGACCCGGCGGGTGGGGGCACCCTGGGGGTCCCGGCCTCGCTACCCTGAGCAAGGTTGGGAGAGGGCAGCCGAGGGGCTCCGGGCGCACAGGTGGTTGGAGAGGCAGGTGGGGCAAGAGGACGGAGAGCGCCCGGCGGGCGCCCGGGATTGTGACCCCCTCCCGCGGTGGGGAGCTATTACCAGGACTTTGGGTCTTGGTGGAAGCTGAGCGCAGGCCAGACCCATCGCGCACGATGGGGCTGGGAGCTGTCCCCAGTTCTGGGTCCAGGCGCCCATTGCTCCATCAGCCATGGTCACGGGCTACCGCCGGTGACCGTCCCCACAACCCCACCTCTGGAGTGTTGTGGCTGCCTTGGCCCATAGAATCGCCGCGAAGTAGTTCCAGGTAGACGCAGCCGGCCCATGAAAGCCCTTGTTTGTGCTTGGGCTGTGTGACCTTGGGCAAGTCGCTGAAAGTCTCTGGGCCTCAGTCTTGGCTATCTGTGAAATGGGGCTGGGGAAGATAGACTGATTTCGGAGGACTGGGGCTCTGCGGCCAAGGCTGCCACTTTTAGATTCTCCCTCGTCCCTCGTTGCCCATGTTTGATTTGTTAACCTGTCTTCGCTCGCTCGCCGGGCTAATAATAGTAATAATAACTTAAAGACGGCAGAAGGAAGAGAAGAGGGGAAAGGCGAAGGTGGGGTGGAGACGGGGAGGGGGGCACCAAAGGAAAAGTTCATCAGAAAGTTCGCAAGCAGCTTCCTGCCTGCTGGTTCCCGGCGCGAATCCCGGCGGAGTCGGCCCTTGAGTGGAGCTGTGGGAAGCGCGGCTGATTTCCCACTCGGGTAATTGATAGCTTAATTATCTCCGAGAGCGTTTACAAAAATGTTGTTCCCCCTTAGCTCTGGCGCGCGCTGCTCTCTCGCTCGCGGTCCCCTCCCCTCTGGGGGCGCGGGGTACGATTGGCTGCCAGAGTCTGGCCAACAACAGCGCCCAGGCTCGCTGGGAGACTCGGGAGCTCTTCGCGGACCCGGCTGGAACATCGCGGGGGTGGAAAGGGCCCTTCGCAGTCAGCGCCTTCCCAATGCTGACCGCGACCGCCCAGGTTAACTCCTTGCCTGCTAGACTCCAGAACTGGGAACTCGATATTTAGCGGTTTTACGACTTCTCCTCACTGCTAGTCTCCCTTCATGCTGGCAACCTCTGGGGTCTGAGCAAATGCCCGGGTTTGCTCTTGCAGGTGGAGCCTGAGCCTTGAGGTTGCTGGCCCTTAGGCTCTCCCTAGCTGGTTGGAACATGGGGCGAGGGGGGCTTCCTTGGAGGGCTAGGCAGGAGAGCGCCTTGCTGGTTCTCTGGGGACTTTCCGCTGAGGCGGCGCGTCTGGGGAAAGACGCACCTACAAATCCACATGCACATACACTCAAGCATACACACGCACTCACGCACATACTCAAGCTAATGAGTGCACGCGCGCGCGCACACACACGCATACACACACACAAACACACACACACACACACACACACACCACCACCACCACCACCACCACCACCACCACCACCACCAACAACAACAACAACAAAGCAACCTTCCCCATGTGCGATGCGATGGGACCTGGGCTCTTTAGGGAGCTAACCTCAGGTTCAGGACCTACCCCTGCTGCCTCTGGGGACAGAAACACAGGTGGTCTCTGTTAACAGTTCCAATCCCATCCTTATTCATCCACTCTCCCTGCCTTCTTATTCCAGGGCACTCAGAGATCTGGTCTAGGAGGTCCCTTAATGGCCCTTTCAATGATGGCTAAGGGCACTGTGTGTGTTATGACTGGGAAGGGAATGCTCAAGAGCATCCCTGTTCCCCCAGGATGTGGTACACTCAGTCCACCAGTTGTAAGAGTTTTCCTCCCCACCCTGCCGTACCCCCAAATTCCTGGGGCCAGTAATGCCTGCCTTTCTAAACTTTGATTCTCAGGAGACACTAGGTTCCTGGGAGGCAGGGCAGGTTGAGTGTTGAGCTGGAAGTCTTGAATCCCCCACTGGGAGTCTGCCTTTACATCCTCTCCTAGAGCTTTCTACCTTCTCTGACCCACACAGCCCACAGCTGCTAAACCTACCCCCTGGGGACAGCCTGCTTTTGAGTGGTGGGATGCTGACCTCCTGGGGGAACAGTGAGCACTTTGGGTGTCCTCCCTTCTCCCCAGAAAGCCCTGGACTGACAGCCCAAGGCACTCCCGCCAGGATTTGGCTAACGAGGTAGTTGCCAGATGGCTGGGTATAGCAGGAGCTGTGTAGGGAGATGTGGGCTTTCTATTTGTGTTGGTCTTCGACTGTTTGCATGTAAACATGGAGTGCACAATGAGCTCTGGGAGGGCCAGGCTGGCTGCAAATGAGGGTGGGGGTTGCAGTAGAAACCCTTTATGGCTATCTCTTTCCCAGGGTCCCTGGGCAACCCTATCCCCCACCAGACCTTCTAAATATGCTCACCTGCCATTTGCCTCCTAGCACTTGTCTCCAGCAGGGTGGATGAGCTTTCAAGCTCACCTTGTAGGTTCAGGGGATTTGGAGATGAAAAGTCAGGCTAAGTCAGTAGAGGCCAACCCCACCAGTAAAGGGGTGTGTGGAGCCACCGCTAGGGGGTGATGGTGTCTGCCAAAGCCCCGGCCATGGCCATGGCGGCATTTGGGGGCTCTGGAGCTAAAGGCAGTAAAATGTCTCTTAGCACGAGAGGGAGCAAATTAAGTAATATAAGGTAGGGCTCCTATTTTATTCTAAGCCCTACTAGGGGACTGCAAGGCAGTTTTGCACATACTGACCATCCTCATCCCCACCCACCAAAGCCACCTTCCTACCTGGCCCTGCCTTCCCTCCCTTTGGTCTTCCCTGTTTGAGCTTATCCATTCTGCTATTGGAATGCCCAGACGAAAAAGACTTTTCTTCTTGTCTCTCCTTCTAATATTTCGCCTCCCTTTGTCGAGTTACAGCTTTCTTTATATAAATGGAAGTTTCCTCTCAGAGATGATAGCTCTGCTAATTTTTGGTATCCGGGCCTCTTTAGAATCTGATTATAAGTCAATGACATTGACAAAGTGAATTTCCCTGAAAGTGATCAAGGAATAGCAAATAGTTATTGCATTTTTAATGCACTACTAAGAGCTTTACTCTGGCTCTTTATTATTTAATGTCCATAAAAATATATGGAGCGGGCACTCCGGTTATTCCCATTTTACAGATTAGAAAGCTTTCTCGGACAGGTCACGTGCCTAGTCCAGAGTCACATGGTGAGTAGATGGCAAAGCTTGAACGAGAATGTCAGTCTCCTGACACTGCCATTTGTGATCATTGCTACAGTGACATCCAGAGTCAAAGAGGTCTTGAGAGATGATTCTGTGCTTGCATGGCCGGGAACTAGGTCCTGTGAGAAGACACAGAAATCACCAACATACCAAGAACCTTCCTTCAAAGGCATGCCAGCAACCTCGGTGAGCATTTGAAATGGAGAGCTGAGATAAATGACCTCCGATGACCCTGCTAACTCCAAGTTCCATAACTCATGGAATGTCAGAAGGAACTCTATGGATGCTGTGACCCCAGGGAGAAACGAGATCTCCAAAGACTTCTCAGAGAGCAGGGAAGACTTCCTGGACAGGACCGAACCTGAGCTAGGCCTCTGAAGGACAGGTTACTTTTTAATCAATAATCAAGAGAAGGGAAGTCAGATGCTTCAAGGCAGCTTGGCTGTTTGGGAACTTATTGTTGCTTTAGCAGTTGGAAAGCTCAGTCCTGGCTCACTGTGACCTTGAACAAGTCAACTCTCCTCTTCAAGCTTTAATTCTTTGTGCTGCAATATGAGTGGGTAGATGAGCCCCAAAATAATCCCTTGGTGTAAAGAATCTATGAACTTGCAGTGCCCTGACCCGCTCCGTGACTCTGACTAGCTCCTCTTGCTTCTCCCTGTCTGTTTCCCTTTCCTGTGACATGGGGGTGTGGGGAAGAACTGATTGAAAAGAAAGGATTTGAATAGGAGCAAATGGCAGCGCAGGGTTTCTGAGGTGAACCTGCGTGTGTCACTCAGTCCTCATTTACTCCCCAGGCAGCCCTGAACTTGCATGGCATGTGACTTTAGTTTTAATGCCCACAGGTAGGAAATGTCACCCTGGGCTCAGCCCTATCCATGCTTGCTAGTAGCCTACCTGTTTACTGCCAGCCTTGATTCAGCAAAAGAAGGGGAAACAGAGGTAGCATTGAGTAAGCATTCCTTGTCTGTAAATGTCTTTGTGAATTCCTTGTCATGTAAATCAGGCAGGGGAGGCCTGGTGCTCTGTGTCTGGGGAGGAAACATGAAGGAGAAGCCATTTAGCAGTGTGTCTTCACATGCACTCACATGACCTGAAGGTCTGGCCCCAAAGAAAGCTGCCTGTTGCAGCTGACTGGCCTGGGTGAGAGAGACAGCCACCCTCTGAGAAGTCAAGTTGGGGGGTTCAACACCAAATCCCAAACCAAATTCATTACCAGTGACTATATGTATACTCAGAGTGACCTTCCAGAACAGAGTGGAACTGTCCGATTGGTGTTCCACGGCTGTAGTCTCTATGGAAACAGACTGCCACATCTTTCTTCCATGGGGTGACTAGTGGGATCAAACCACCAACCATCCTTTTGGATTCCTCTGATTCAACACCCAACAAAAACCAAGCCCACTGCCTCTGGTTGATTTTCCACTCATAACAACCCTATAGAATGGACTAGAATGGACCCCATCGGGCTTCCAAGGCTGCAGGATGCCCACCTCTTTCTCTTGCAGTCACTAGTAGGTTCAAAATACCATCTTTCTGGTTAGCAGTGGAGTGCCAGCAAACCTCCTGGATTCAACACTCAAACAAACAGCCCAAACTACTGCCATCTTTTCGCCTCCGACTCATAGTGACCCTATAGGGCAGTAAGAACTATTTCCTGAAGAAACCTTGTCTTTCGCCTGAGGA